CCACGCAGTTCTGCCGATCCCGGCACAGCTCGGGGCCCGTGCCCTGCCCGCACTCGGCGCTTTCACCCCGGCGCTTCTTTCCTGCCAAGGGCAGAGCTCTGCCGAGCACCCAGCAGGCAGCGAGACCCTCACCTGCTCCCAGCCGGGTGGGCAGCCCCGCCACGCTGTTGGGTGTCTGGAGCCGCTGCTCCTCCGGGAACCGCGCGGGGTCCATGAGGTTCTTGGCGGAGAAGCGCAGGAGGCGCTGCCGGAGCTCGGCGGGGCTCAGCMGGGGCTCGGCGCTGAGCAGCACGGCAGCGATGCCTGCAAGGGCCCGGGGGGCTGCAGTGAGAACCGGGGGGCACAGCCACCTACACAGCACTCCCATGGGCAGCAGGGCTCCGGAGAGACTGGAGAAGGCATCTCTGCAGCCCTTCGCCCACTCGCACKGGGTGCGGGAGCGCTGCGCAGGCTGCGCCATCCGAGTGAGTGCCAAAACCGTGACATCGCGGCACACAGAAATGCCCCCGGCTCAGGCATGCCCGATGCCCTGTGCCAGCACCAGCAAGCGGAGGGCCAGCCCTGCCTGTCCCCCAGAGCCCGGCTCACCTGCCACATGCGCGGCCGCCTGCGAGGTCCCGCTCTGCGCCGTGAAACACGTGCTGCAGTCGCTGGAGGCGCCGATGATGTCGTCCCCCGGGGCAAACAGGTCCACGCAGCGGCCGAAGTTGGTGCCCAGGGTGCCGATGGAGGCGGGTTGGTCCTCGCTGTCGGTGGCACCCACCGTGATGACCTGCGAGTGACACRGGCGGGATGGCACTGCCAGCTGGAGGGGGTGAGGTGTCACCCAAACCTCAGGGGACGCCCCCAGCCCGTACCTCCGGCTCGGACGCGGGCGAGAACCGGCAGGCATCGTCCTTGTAGTTGCCGGCAGCCGCCACCAGCACGGCTCCGGTCCGTGCCACCCGCCGGCAGCCGGCGTTCAGCGCTGGGCTGTGGGCACCGGCCAAGGGCAGCAGCACCACCCGCGGGGCGTAGGGCTGAGCCTCCAGCGTCCTCCTGACGAACTCCAGGGCTGCGAGGGACAAGACGCTATGGCGGGAGGCTCCGGAAGGGATCCTGCTCCGCTCCGGGGCGTGGGGTCACTCACCCATGAGGGTCCCGCTGACCGTGCCCTTCCCCTGGCAGTTSAGCACACGGAGGCTGCGGATGTTGGCGCCCGTGGCCACGCCGGCGTCGCGCCCGCTCAGCACCCCGGCCACGTGGGTCCCGTGGCTGTCGCACTTGCTGGCCTGGCACGGGCACCGCAGTTTGGTGCCCCAGCCCATTGCAACAAAGGGGGTTTGCAATCCTACATCATTCCCAGCCCTTCCCACCCTGATTCCCTCTCACTTGACAAGCACCCGTGCCACCCCAGGACATTTTCCCCCTGCCCCACTCAGCCTTATCTCCAAAAAGGTCACTTTGAGGGTCCCAGCATCCCCCAGGACCACAGCTCCTGCTGCTCCATGTCCCACCCAGCCTTTTGCTCTCCCTTGTCCTGGAAAGCCCCAAAAGCCCTGCCAGGATTTGGAGAATGCTCCGGCCGGGATGCAGCATGTGGCACCAGGGGCTCACCTGCCGGTGGACATGGGTGCCATCCTCCTCGGGGATGCTCTCGAAGCCGGTCACAGTCACCCTGCCCTCGATCTCGCGGTGGGTGCTCTGCACGCTGCTGTCCAGCAGGAAAATCTCCACCAGGTCACCTTTATCTGCCGGGGGTGCAGCAGGGAGGAAAGGCCACCACCATCACCTCAGCACAGGCCACCTGCGATGCTCCCAAAATGCAGCACCACGGGGCAGAGGGACACCCCCATCCCCTCGAGTTAAAGAGAGGGGAGCTGACCCTTCCCCAAACCCCCGTGGTGSCACCCCAGCGCTTACTGGGCGGGCTGTAGGTGCCGGAGCCGGGCTGTGGTGGCACGATCCTGCCCAGGTTCCAGGGAATGCTCTGGGCAAAGACAAAGGCATCCTCCTCGATGTACTTCACGTGCGGCAGCTTCAGCGCCTGCGGGGAGGACACGCGGTGCCCCACGTGGTGACAGAGCTCCGGTTTGTCCCCAAAACTGGGGCGGCCATCCCCACCAGTGCCCACCGCAGCTGCTGCCCCCGCCACCGCACTGTCCCTGCTCCACGTACCGTGTCCAGGAGGTCGCTGCTCATCCTCACCAGGAAGGCGGGCAGGAGGTGGAAGACGTGCAGCAGCTCGGCCATGTGTCCCCGCCGAGCCGCCCGGACCTGCAGCCACCGGGCCGTGTCCCGCACCTCGGCCTCGCTGCCCGCCCGCAGCATCACCACGTAGCGCCCGGGCAGCCGCCACGACGCCTGCGGGGACACGAGCACCGCGCTGGGGTCCTGGGGACAGGACACAGACGCGTGGCTGTCCCCCCACCCCACGCTCCTCACCTTGGCGGCTCGATGGAAAGCGGCGGGTCCCGGCGGGGCGGCCCCGACGGCGGCTTCCCCCTCCTCGGCCGCCCCCAGGGCCAGCACCAGCGACAGCACCAGCGACAGCACCAGCGACAGCGCCCGCGGGGACATCCCGCACCCGCGCCCCGACGGGAAGCACCGGGAGACGACGGGACCCTCAGCACCGCGGCGACAGCGACGGCGGGGACCCCCTGCGCGACCACCGAGGGGCTGGAGCGCAGGCGAGGGGCTGGAGCGGGGCCGGGGGGCTGCAGCGGAGCCCAGGGGTCGGTGCGCGCCCGCGGAGCGCAGGAGCCGGAG